AACCTGAAGATGAGGAAAGATGACAAAGGAACTCTAAGTTTCAGTTTTACTTTAGTGGCAGCATTTCCATCTGAACCAGAAAGGTTAACATAAACTCCTGGAACGTTAGGGTCAAGTCTTCTTATTTTCTCAATATTTGCATACTGGTCTGTTTGTTCTCTAGCTTGTGGTTGTACTGAGTTTCTCAAAGCGAACCATTCATAGTTTGCCCATGTTACTGTTTGAACTAAGTCAGAGTTAGAATATATCTTATATCCCATGAAAAACTTCTGGAGCATATTGGTATCCGACATAGAAAATTCCATTGCAACCTTTCTTGTCAGACAACTTGGCAGAAGGTTTTATTTCAATGTCTTGTTCCACGTATAAGAATGAGTTGTCAATAGAAATAATATGAAACCTGTCGCAAGCAATATCTACTGTTGTTGAAGAACCTTCTCCAAACTCACCTACGTTTCCATAAGAAACAGCAGTTGTATATTCGTAAGTTCCAGGAACTATTTCTGACCTTCTAATGGCATTGTCGCATTCGTTATACCATTCGGAAACATTTCCGTTCATGGCATCCAAAACTGTTGGCGTTATATTCTGAGCGGCGTACATTTCATATGGGTAAAAATATAGAATAGTTGGATTTATATGTCATAATTGTTTCGGACCAAGCTTTACTTTCTTCCTGACTGAGTTTTTAACTCTTCTTTTTCCTTCATTGCCACTACTTTCACTAGATGAAGTTACTTCTTCACTACTTTCACTTTGTTCTACTCTTCTTCTTTGGTGTCGCTTTTGGTAACTTGCCCTCTGCTTCAAGTTGTTGCATCTTTGCCTCATGTTCACCTAGTATATTGTAAATTTTCCATGTCCTTTTTGCCTTTGGGCTCTGGTCGCCCATCTCAGGTAACCAATATCCTAGAAAGATTTTGTCATAGTTTGTATTTGAGTCGTCGCTTATTGTTTGCATGACTCTTTCCTGAGTTTCCGGTTCAAGCTCTTCAAATATAGCTTGTCCATATGGAATATGCTCGTTTCCAAATATATGTTTTTGTAGCCAGTCTGGTTTTCTTTCCATGTTACCAATAATATCTTTTGTGAATGGGAAAGCTTTTACCCAATGTTTCAGTCTTGCGTCATTTATTTCTGTAGTTGGTTTTATTTTGTCATGGAACATGTTTTTCAATACTAACATTTCATTTGGTACTGTCCATTTGAGTTTTCTTAAATATTCATCCCTTCTCGGTTCATTGTCTGCAAAGTAAGTTTTTATGACATTTTGTAAACTTTCGTTTGCAAGGTCATGTACAATAGGTTCTCTTCCTTCTATCTCCCTAACTTTCTTTCTAAACTCTTCACCAAATATACCATCTCTATGGTTCTGTGTAGTTCTTTGAGATAAATGTTTTAGAACGTCAGGTGTTATATTTCCATCAGCCATGTTCATTTCATACTGGTCCAAAATATCTGCATCTTTCATATCTTTCAATGGCATTAAAGCCGCGCTGAAAATACCAGCTATATCTGGTTCACCATTCACTTCCATTGCGTCTACAACTTCTTGGAATTGTGGTTGTAAGTTTATGAACCACCTATCCGGATTAGCTTTATGACCCCATCTCATTGTAGTTCCATAGTCTGCAGAAACAAAAGTAGGTTTGTTTCCATATTGGTTAGGTTCTGAATGAACTTTAAACAATGTTTCATTTCTATATGTTTTTGGTGAAATTTAACCTTTTATTTTCACCGAGTTCAGCCAAAGATTGAACGTTATATGGTCGTAAGTAAAAAGGATTGTTGTATTTGCGTACACTTTCTTTCAGTACTTCCATTCTATGCTGAATATTTTCATCTGATGTTGGAGTCTTTTGTATGTCGGCAAACATTTTTCGATATTCTTCTACTATGTCAGCCGAATTTTTCTTAGACTCTTGGAAAGATTCCATATTCTCCGCATACTCTTGTTGAGGGTCAAGATTTTTCGGCTGTTCCAAATCTTCATCTAGTTCTGTGAAGTTAGTTTCCAAAGGAGGGACTTGTTCGTTTCCTTCAGGCTCTTCTAGCTGTTGTTGCTGAACTATTTCTTCCATGTCTGGTTGTATCTGAACTTCTTCCTGTGGAGTTTCTTGTACCTCATCTGCTGGCATTTCATATATTCCGAGACCGTTTTTAACAAGTTCCCTATTTAAGTCATCCGCATTCATAACCCTTTCTTCTTTCGTTCCGTCTCTATTTTTTACGCGTTTCATGAAGATAGTTGAATTATCATTTATTCTGACACCAAATATCTCGGAGTAAATTCATTCATGTCATTTGGATGATATGCTATTAAATCATATCCCTTAGCGAGCTTGTATTTTCCAGGTTTGAAATTATATCCCATTTGGTCTGAACCATAAAGCTAAATAGGTTCGGGTCAGTATTTCCTTCCTTGAACTTTCTAATAGCTTCTTTATATCTGTCACTAAAGTCAAGAGTATCTGGGTAACCATAATTTTCCTTAAGCATTTTTAAGAATTCTTGGTTTCCTTGTTCTCTACTTCTTTTTATGTCCTTGCTCTGTTTGTGGTTGTTGCTGTGCAGTGTTTTGAACTGTTGGTTGTGGTGCAGTGTTTTGAACTGTTGGTTGTGGTGCAGTGTTTTGAACTGTTGGTTGTGGTGCAGTGTTTTGAACTGTTGGTTGTTGTGTTGGTTGTTGTGTTGGTTTTGGTGCATGCCTGTGTCTGTGTCCATGTGACGATGTAAATGTTTTAGGTAGTCCTGGTGCAGGTGCTTCTCTTGGAGGGTTTGGTGGTATATAAGTTCCACTAGCTAGTATATAAGTTCCACCAGCTGGTATATAAGTTCCACCAGCTGGCACATATGTTCCATCTGCAGCATAATGTCCTACCTGACTTTTCGTTCTTAAGAAAGCATTTACTAGGTCTGTTTTGGTCTGTTGTAACTCTTTTTCTTGACTTTCCACAACAGTTGCTCTAACGGCGTCATAGGCACTTTGAACTGCCTGTCTCGTTGCTGCATCTGTTATTTTCGTCATATTTTGTGCTACTTCTCTTAACTCGTTGTCGAAACCTTCAGACTTCAGTTTCTTTCCAGATGAGAAGTCGTTCACTAGTTTCACCTTACTATGAAGAGCTTCGAAGGCGTTCTTAAAGTCAGCATTCATTAAAGCTTCATTTGAACTGTCTTCATCCGCTTGTATTTTTGTCCTTATTGACCCTATAAGTTGGGCTGCTTTGGCGTTGGCTTGGGCATCTAACCAGTCATTATTAGCTTTTATATATTCTGCGCTTTTCATTGCCTTTTGCATGGCTGCGTCGTTATTTTTACTTTCTTGTGCTAAGTTTTCATACTGTACGGTTTGGTTTTGCAACTGTAAAAGTTTTTCTGCCTTTACATTTGCTTCAACTTCTTTTTTATACTCATCGCTATCCATATATGTCTTCAGGGCTTTTTGTTTTATCTCTTCATCTTTCAGTACTTTATATTGAGTAGTATGGTTTTTCAAATTTATAACATCTTGTTCCATTTTTGCTACTTCTGCTGCTTTTTCTGACACTTTTTTCGCATATTCCTCTGTACTTAGTTCTTTCAGTTGTTCTTCTTTCTTCTTTTTCTCTACGTTTAACTCATTGAGTTTCTTTGTGTGTCTGTCATATTCTAGTTTCTTTTCGTTTTCACTTATTTGTTTCTGTATGTCTATGTTTGACTTTTTGACATCTGTTATTTGATTTTTGAGTGAACTCAAATTCATTTGACTTTGAGGGTTATAAGCTGTTCCGTCTGCAGCTCCACCATAGCCTGCCATTTTCGCTAAAAGTGCCGCTCTTAAACCTCCACTCTGTGCACCAATAACTCGGTTTAAAAGCATAGGGTTGCTTGACATTTGTTGCAACATAGTGGGGTCATTCATCATTTGTTGTTGCAACTGTTGTTGTGGTGTCAGTTTTACTATTGGATGTTTCAATGCTCTCTTCCTCTTACGTATATTCTTACGTAGCTTACGTGGCATTTTAAGTGAAGTAAAAAAGCGGTTTTTGACAGATGTTTATATGACACTTTTTGTTCAGCACAAAAAACTACTCGGTCAAAGTGTTGTCAGTTTTGTAAAATAACCGTCCTATCTCATTCTATAAGGGGGAAAGTCTTCTCAAAGTATACTTCCTTGGAACGCCCGTAACTTTTCCTGTAGCGACGATAGACCCTTACTTGTCCGGACAAAGTTATACTAAACATCTTCAGGGCTAGAGGGCACGAAGTGCCTGGAGGCCCCACTACCTTTTTTTTTTTTTTTTTTATTCTTGTTAATATCATCTTTTCTGGATATACACCGCTTATTTTGACATCTAAAAAGAGTCATCTTCAATATTGTTTGAAATTATGTAGTCAGAGAAATACTCTATTCATCTAGACATAAGCAAAAGAAAATATATGAGTAGAAGATAAGCAATTTATTATTTAAACCTGATACATTATAATATGATCCCTTTTATTGCCATTTAAAATTGAGATTTATAACAAACCAAACTTCAAAAAATGAAATCTATGCTATGTGTTATAAAGTGCTCTTTATTTCTGCTTTGTGAAGCAACAGTATTTCATATCTTTAATCAATACTTGCACAATGATAACATATTTTCGTTATTTGCAAAATAGGATTATGTCGAATAGTGTAATGTTGTCATTCCATATCTTTCTTCAACATAAACACATGAAAAATTTCAATTAAAAGAAGGGGTTCTATTACCTTATTACAATTATATCAAAATGAATTAATTAGCAGTAAGAACATTCTTTTGTTCAATTTTTCCATCTCGAAATGTGTAAGTTCAAATGCACTCCTTTCTAAAATACTATCCATTCAACTGTACACTTGTACTAAGCTTTAATTCGTGATGTTTGCATTTCAAAATAGAAAAATATCAGTGAAAATGAAATTTATATAAATTAACAAAATATAGTATTATTTTACTAAACAACAAATAACAAAAACAATATAGTAATCAAAATCACTCTTCTCCTTCTACAACATTATGCTTTTGAATAATAGATCTCATCAAAACTGCCAGACGTTCTTTTCCAATCTCAAGTTCAAAGCGTGGGCCAAACGAATACTCTAATTTCTGTTCTGGCTGTAATTTCTCTTCTGTAAGATATCCTTCTTTGGTCCATTTTTTGAGAAGGTTTGGCATTTTGCCTAGTTCTGATACTGCTTCTTCCATTTCAAACTTTTCTATAGTTTTTATAATGTTATCGAGTGTTATTGGATGCTTATTGAAAGATATTGCAAAAAATATAAAAGCAAGAAGGCCAAATTCTCTTTTTTCAGCTTCTGAAAAAGGTATTTGTATTTCTGATGGATATTCTTCTTTTCTGATAATATAATAATCTGAAGGAACTTTTTTATTTGGTTTTGTATATCTTACAATGTCTAATCCTAGAGCGTCATTTAAGTACTGACTAGCAGTCTTGATCATGTTTGTTTCTCTATTTTTTTCATCATTTGATTTATCTAAAATTCCTTTTACTTGAGCTTTTTTAACTGACATCTTTTCGCGGTTCTTAAAAAGGAAAAACCGTGCTACCCTTCCAGCCTGTATCTTATTTCTACTTTCTGCATCATCATCTTCTGATGACATCAAGTAAAAAAAGACAAAGCCATTCCTACATTATCGATGTGTCTACCCTAGACATTTTAGAATATACATAGTATTTTTTAAAAAAGGAACAAAACGTTTTCTTTAATATGCATATTACTTTGATCACATTAGCTGTGATAGATATAATAAGTATTCTATATAAACAGCGTTATATTAAACTTACGCTAATCCACACTCAAAACAAATTTTCATTCTTTACGATTATATACATTTTCTTCAATATTTTGATATAATTTGTGTTTATATTAGTAACATAAGATATAATCACTGAAGTTATTGCTCAATTCCTTTGATAAAATTCTCATAATTTTTTTCTTTCATGCTAATGTTGAGGATTGTGTCATCAAAACATGAATTTTATCTATAACTACAGTTGTAAAAAAGTATTTCACGCTCAGAAAGTGAAAATATTCAACTTTTCAATAAATGCAATATGATTAATGATCGGCCATCAGCTAAAGAATTGATTTAAATTTGAAATATTCTACCACATAACACTATTTTTTAGTCGATTTTATGATTCGATAAGAATAAAGAATTCAAAGTGACCTCTATTTTAGTTAGATTAAAGATACAAATGATAGAGACGAATGGCAAGCAAAATAAATGTGGATGTGAATAATCTTTGGTTCAAACTTCCGGCACTTAAATTTTTTCATCATTAATGAAGATCAAAATTCAATTAAATATTAAATGGGTATTTAAAATCAAATAATATTTAGCTGGGCCATCACTTGATAAAATTTGAATGCACTTTCAATTTTGTAAGTCCATGTTTTTACAAACTTTGCATAACATATTCCAAAACATATTTTATATTGAATTTTAAAAATGGAAAAATAGATAGTATCGTTTGATTTTCCCCTATCGTTTTTTGATTACCCTTTCTGCCCGACCAACGGTTTTACCATTTGTTTGAACATGTCTAATCCGTTCGCCATCCTTGCTGATTACCGTAAAGAGGGTCCCGCTGTTCCAGAACGCGAGAAAATTGTCCGCCAAAAGGATCGCCATGAGTCCGGCACAGGCCGCCGCGACAAGACAAAGCGCGAGGGCCGTGGTATGTCCAACTGGGGCCAGCCAGGTGATGAGGCCAAGCCAGCTACAAAGCGCGAACAGCGCGTTGCTAAGGAAGAGGCTGATGCCGCTGCCGAGCCAGTTGAGGAACAAGAAGAAGCCAAGCCACAGTTCGTTGCTGCCTCCCAATTCTTCGATAATGACGAAGATGAGGAAGTTGTTGGCGTTCCACAAAAGGCTACAAAGGCTGACAAGGCTGTCGACAACAAGTATCTCCAAATCATGACACTCGAAGCCAAGAAGCACGCCGTCGTTAAGGAAGAACAAGAAGAGGACGAGAACGTTCTTGAAACACAATTCCTTACAACAGAGCAGGCCAGAGCCCAGCGTGCTGCTCAGCAGAACAAGGGCCACCCACAGAAGCGTGATTTCCATGGCCCACGCCGCAACACAGACCGCAAGCCACGCCAGGAGCGCCCAGAGCGCAAGGAGGGCGAGGCTCCAAAGGCTGAGGGCGAAGCTCCACAGCGCAAGTTCGCTCGTACACCACGTAACCAGGGCGAAGCTCCCAAGGGTGAACGCCCACAGCGTCAGCAGCGCCGCGATGATGCTAAGAAGCCACGTGACCAGCGCCCAGGCAACGTCCAGCACCAGCGCAATGCTGCCCAGAACAAGGTTGGTCGCCTTGACATCTCTAACTTCCCATCCCTCTAAGGGTTTTACCTAAAGTGATGGTGAACAAAAATTTTACTCTTTTTTCATAGTTTTTTTACCAATCCTACCAATTCTATCTAGAATTTACTAATACTTTCAATATTTATCTTCGCTTGAGAGTTTTTGCATCTGATATGATATTATTATTTTTAATTTTGTGTCTGAAAGTGAATCTGTTCACTATCCTGAGCTAATTTGGCTGATTGTAATACAAAATATTATCAGAAATTCCATTTTGTATGAAAGCAGCTGATGATATCGTAGATGTATGGGCACACAATCTTGAAACTGAGATAGAAAAGATTGCTCAACTACTACCTAAGTATCATTATGTTGGAATGGACACAGAATTTTCAGGATTTTTTGTGAAATCGCCTCCTGTAACAGCAACAGACGAAGTTAAATACCAAGCTGAACGTGAAAATGTTAACAGAATGAAAATTATACAGATTGGCATTACATTGGCCGATGACGATGGAAAAGTTCCTCAACCAATATGCACATGGCAGTTTAATTTTAAATTTGACGTATCACATGATATGCAATCGCTAGATTCAATCAATCTTTTATACCAATCTGGCATAGATTTTCAAAGATTTGCAGAAGACGGAATCGATTTGAATGATTTCATACCAATTTTCTTCTCGAGCGGTCTTGTTATGAATGAACACGTCATTTGGATTACTTTCGCAGCAAGTTACGATATTGCATATTTAGTGAAATTAGTCACAGCAGATACTCTTCCGAAAACATCGCGAGAATTTGATAATGTTGTTAAAACATACTTCCCTCACTATTACGATGTCCGCTATATGATAATGTCCATTTTTCCTGGAATTGGCTCTCTTCAGAGCACTTCCAAAGATCTCGGCGTTGTTAGGTTTGGTCCAATGCACCAAGCTGGATCAGATTCTTATGTTACTTTATTGTCCTATTTTGCAGCATGTAGGAAATACTTTAAAGGAGCGATTGTCCACGATCGCTTTAGGAACAAATCTTGTAAGTAGTTAATTTATAGTCTGTTTATAGAGAATATAAATTTTAAATTTGAATATTTTTTAAAAATCTCTAAATTATTTTTTTAAAACAGAACATAATAACAAAACAACTATACTATTTAACATAAGACATACTAGTTTTTGATCTAGCAGAGGATTTCGATGATGAAGGATCATCAGCATGTAGAGAACAATGAGGTCCAAGCCACATTGCGTTTTGCTTCATGTAGCGATCGTATATTGACTCACTACGAGACCGTGATGATGTGGGTGGATTAGGAATATTAAGACGAGGGACAGTTGGAGCTCCAGGATCTGGCTGTCTTTGGGCAAATGTAGATATCGATCTTGTTGATGTACGCGCTGTTGATGGACGAGTAGAATATAATCTTGCTGTATCAGGACGAGATGTATATGCTGTTTCTGGGCGAGTATATGATTGTCGAAGAGATTCAGTTCGAGAAAGTGTCCTTGAAGCTGATCCTGATCTTGATGCTGTTTTTACGATAGTTTTAGATTGCTGAATCTGCTGTAAGTCACAATATGGGAAAAGTTGGAAAGATAATTCCAAAGTTCCAAATCTTTGACCATTAACATCGTCAAGCCCTGCTTCAACATCGAAAATTGTTGCAGTTAAATCTTCATTTGCTTGATATATTTCATAAAAATCGAAAGTACAAGCGGCTTTTGGTGTTGTATCACCGCAACCACTTTGAACTGTAAATGTAGTTTTGATGTTTGAAAAGCTTGATTGACTGAAAATGATTCTTTTGCCTTTATTATAAGTTAATTTACAAATTGTTGTTAATTTAGGATACATCGTAAGCTCAGTGCACCCACTTATTTCCATTACAAGCGGATACGACTGGCTTTTCATATTCCTACATGTGATACTTTTGATTATGACCTCGAAAACAAGATCATCCGCCGACATCTAACGTATACTTTCCTCAATGGCTTGTATTTTTATTACGTAAAGTAATCCATTGTATTAACAAGCTAATAACACACATGATTCGCAAAGAAAATATATAGAATTTCGACATAAAAATGGATTTTATCAAAATTATTTTTTGATTATTCATTAAATCAGAATTCAAATCTCTGCCAAGCTCAAGTACTAACAACGCCAGAGATAGCAATCCAAAAATTGAAGAAATATTTTCAAAATATTTTGGTAATGCAAAAATAATCAATATTTACTTAAAATATCAAGCCATTGTATTATAATATATGTACATTTAAAACGGTAATCAATTTAACATATAAATACGATAAACATAATTAAATTAATTCTTGAAGTTAGCTTCGATGCTTGCATCGAGTTTCTCCTTGAATGCCTGCATCCATTTCTGCTTTTCTTCAACGCGCTTAGCACTTTGTCTACATTCTTCTACCAACTTCTTGGAGAAATCATCTGGATTGTTGCCTTGATCTATCTGTTCTATAAGCTGGTTAGGTACTGAACCTACTACGCCAGATTCAAGCTTGTGTAAGTTATTAAATGAATTAATCATCGAAGTAATCGTTTGGATTAAAGCTTCGCGGTTTGTTTCGTCTAAGTTTTCAAGAATTTTCATTGCATCATTCAATTGGCCAAGAAGGTGAATAAGTTCAAGCTCTACTTCATCATTCTTGCCGTTTTCACTCATTGATGAAATTCTTTTCATATCACATGTCTTAGTCATGATCGGACTTGAATCAAAAAAGCAGAAAAGCTGTATAACAAGTGTTACATGAATTTTTGAAAAATGTTGAAAATATTCAAATCTGGGCATGTTTTCCATATATTCTCAGTCAATTCTATCGGCGCGAAGTGTATATATAGAGGACAACACAGTAACTTTTGACATTATGAATTTACAGTAAATTAACATACTATATTTATAATTTTTATGGTTCAAATTAAGAATCATCTTCGCATCTTTAGAAACTATTGTAAACATCTAGAAAGCAATCAATAATATCATGATTTTATTCACAGACGAGTTCAAGATATATATAATGGCTTTCATTTCGATAATAAATGAAGATGAACTCGTTCCAAAATTATCTTCATTTTTGATGTATTTATCCTTCATTATGCATTAAAACCATATGTTTTATCAAAGATTATGCAATTACCCTTAGGTAATATGAATAAACAAGTCATTTTAAACAAAACGCTGAACATCAAATCCAATGATTTGCATTCAACGTGTGATAGAGTTGGATCAATATAACAAATGTATGATCTGATAGAAATTGACTTGAGAGGCTTGAAATGATTCTTGGTAATGAGTTGGAATAAAATCAATACCAAATTCATAATATTTATAACCATGAATGAGGTCCTTATGGCATTCCAAACGGGAACCGCGGTTGGTTACCATGGATTTCCGTCACCGGTCACATTTTAAAGATTTTTAAAGCCTTATAAAAATATGCTTTGTAAATCATTTTTTGTAAATCGGCAAAAATTTGGTAATTTTCTTCAACTAATAAATCTGCGAATAGCATTTATAATACAAGAACAATCTTTTAAAATGCGTTTGATTCATTTTTGTATAATTTCATATAGGCACATATATTCTTCCGGGACTTTCCGTGATTTTACCGTAAAATCATTAGTTTACACCAATTTTTCCGTATTTTGAATAGTTTACTGCACTTTTTCCGTAAAATTGAGTTACGGGAATCCGCAAAATTTCCGGACCTCATTTTTCATAGAATATAATAATAATATTTGATAAAAAGATATATTATTTATATTTTTGATTTTTGAATTACGGAAAAAGTGAATTGTTAACTTGATTTTTTTATATGGTTAATTTTTCAAATGATATTATGAAGATCTAAAATATTAAAAGTAAAAAATTGAATTACGGAAAAAGTGAGGTCAAAAGTGAAATAAATTTGCAGAACAATTTTCATTGAAATAAGACATTGAGTATCACACTTTAGTGAATCAACATCTATAAGAATGAAGTGTTTTGAAGCTGAAATAATATTGAATAGAAATTAATTTTTTCTGAAATTTTGAATGAAATTATGGGAAATAAAAAAATTACTAAATATTGTATTCATACAAATATATTATTTTAAAGGAAAAATAGATGCTGATAGAAACGATGAAAAATTTTGAAAACTTTACAATTAATTTATGTTCGTTAACCACAGAGCTTGCAATCCAAAGCTCACGTTAGACTACAAGAGTCATGAAGTCTCATACTAAGGGATATCCAACATATATTTTAATAATCTAATGTTTGTGACAAATATTCAACATAAAATTAAGTTTTCGTTTCGTTACAAGGCATTCATACTTTGGAGATATCATATTTAATGTACAGAAAAGTTAATATTAAACAATACATGCTAAAGAATTAATAAATAAGATAATAAAATAAATTTATACGTAATTACTTTCATTTAATATGCTTTATGCTGTATAATATTGATTAAGAGGCATTAAAAGGTTCCATAGTCTGCTTTTATAGGCAAGATTTTTGATAAAAATTTTAAATTTTGAAAAATGATGAGAAAAGGAAAAAAAAGGTAAATGAGAGCAAGAGGAGGGAAAAAAAAGAAAGGGAAGGGAAAAATAAAAGAAAGAAGGACATATAAAAATTTAGATGCGCATTCTTAATGCCGAGGCGGCTTGCCGCCGAGGCGCGATTTTTTTAGGCCTCTACGGTAACCCGGCAATGTTTTTTTAAATCTTGTACAGCCCTAGAGGTCCTACTATCTCATACTAGTAAAATGAAATAATCATTAGTCAGGGCAAAAAAAAGATCTCAAATTTTTTTGAATTGAAATTTCCCAAAATTTGTCTTATATTTGTATGCGCAATTATTTCCATGATTTAAAAATTTAATAAACCATATCAAATTTTTTTGAGTAATTTAATGGTCGAGCCTATTCATAATCCAGATGCTTCGGAAATCGAAAATCTAAATAAATTGTTTTTAGAAACAGGTAAAAATCCAGAAGCAAATCAAGAATTAAACAGAATCGCGTCTGAAGATCAAATTCAATTTTTCTATTCCACTGCAATCATAATATCATCACTTCCAATTCCTTTAAATGAAGAAGACGCGAATACTGATGCATATAATCTCTTCAGGAACGCAATTACTTTAATCACTCGTTGTCTTAGGCCATATATACGCTCTAGTCGAGACATTGTTCAAGAATATCTTAACCGAGTCCCTCCTGAGATCCACATTAACCTCTGCCAACTTTTTTCCAACATTTTAGATAGTCCTTTCGACGACATTCGTTCCCCAGCATCTATAATTACTTCCCAGCTCATCAGAATCGATTTTGCTGGAAGCAAAAACAAGTCAAAATCAGAATTTCTTGAATCACTCGAAAAAGGATACGATTCCTTTGGCAATGACTTTAAGAAGGTCGGAGTGCTCGAAGCTTTTACGTTATGCAACGAAGAAGACATAGTTTCAACAAGAACAAGGATATATCGTAATTTTTGCAAAAATCAGTTTGCTAGAGGCTTCCTGACCTTTACATCCGATATTCCGCAGCGCTACAGATCCATTGGCTTGAGAGCCCTCAACATCTTCTTCCAAAAGGTAAGTTCCAGAATTATCGACCAAAAAGTCGAATTGCAATGCCTTGATAGCTTACTACAAGAGTTCAGTACACCTGCAGAGACCATCGAATACTACACTCTTCTTTGTTCGACCACAAAACTTGTAATTTGCGATTTACTTCCACAATTAGTCGCAGGTGATTTCGAAACAATCTTTAAAACGATCAACTTCGAATGTCCCGATGAAGAATCATTACCTTTGCTTGCAAGTCGCATTCAAATCTGGAGATCCATCATAAAAACTCAAAACAGGATCATTAACAATCTCAGGAACGAAGGAAAAGATTATTCCGAGCTCCCCTTCTTCCAAGTTGCTCCACAACTTTGTGACATGCTTCTCCAAGTTATATGCCAAGGAGATTATTCCCAAAGTACTGATGTAGAGACCTACGTCGCATCATATGAAGCTCTTCGTGCTCTTAAAGTTCTTGGCGAAATGATTCCTCAATATTTAGTTGAAAGATCAGGTATAATTTACCAAGAAATTGTTTCAGAGCATCCTGATCAAATTGTTGTATCAATGTGTATCTGGCAAGTCATGATACAAATCAAAGAAGTTGATGGATCAGAGATTATGGGTCTCATGGAACAAGTCTTTGAAATCTGTGTTAATAACAATGCAGATGCCAACACAAAGATTGCTTGTTTGAATGTGATTCAGTCTTTCATTCAATGCAGAATGAATGATCAAAATGATGATGGAAACCAAATAGAAAGAATTGAACAAATATTACAAATATTTGATATTTTATTCCAATCAGGAAATTCTCAATTGTTTTCGAGAATTTTCCAAATATTGAAAGATTTGTTCAAAGTTTTTCTTAATTCCTCAAAAGATTCGTATTTACAAGTCTACGCGACAAGAATATACGAAAGAATGGATCATTACATTGCTATAATAATGAATACGAATAATCCTAATCTTATAATGGATGGATACTATTCATTGCAATCTTTCGTTAATTCTTTGTATTATTCTGATTTTGTTTTGCAGCTTTTCTCTATTTATTCCGCAAAATTCCTTGAAAACGCACAACAATTCGTTGAAAGTCGTGGAAAATCAGGAGAAAAAGGATTTTTCGAAGGAATTTGTTTAGCTTTGAAAGCAATTGTCTCAAAGATGAATGGAAAAGTTAATATTGATGTTTATTCACAAGTTGTTGAAGCAGTTATTAATTGTCTTCATGTTTCTTTGGAATCATTTTTAATTATTTTATTAGCACAATTAGTTTCTTGTTTAGGAGTTGCTTCAACAGAGTTCGCTGAAATTATTATTGATATTTATAAATCAAGTGTTGACTTAAACAACACATCAATAATTGTTGCTTCTTGTGTATTAATTTCTGTTTTCTTCCAAGAAGCTGATGATCAAAATCAATATTTGAGATCAATTGCTGTGAATATTTGGGATTCTCTTTATTCTATCTTTACTAATGAAGATCTCGGTGAATTAACGACATCAAATGCTAATAATATCTTGGAAGGACTTTCAAGATTAGTTTCTTTCATTCCATCTAATGTTTTCGCAGAAAGATGTGAGAATTTCTTCAATTTACTTGATTCTATAACGAAAAGAATTCCTAAGATCAAGAAGATCGATTTCAATGATGATTATTTGGAAACTGAGACTCAGTTGTTCTACGGATACACGCGAGTTTTTGAAATGTACAAGGATGAGGAATATTATTTGATACATTCCAAAGAAACACAAGACCAAAGTTTCCTGTTCGTAAATATCGAAAAATACCTCAATTTGATTAAAATTACTGAAGATAACTTTGATTACAGGCAAACAAAGAAAACTGATAAAATGCTCATGGCTTTCTTGACGTTCTTGGACCAGTTAATCTTAGGAATAGGAAGACCTATCAATTTGCAGTTGAATGCAAGATGGGTCAAGAATCTGTTCGATTTCGCAGCTAATTGTGAAAATACCGATGTCCACCACTACGCAAATGAAATTAAGGGTCGATACAATAGTTTATAGAGTAATTCTTAAATGTTTTATCTTTTAAAAAATTTTTTTTTCTTATATGATACATATTCCCACGAAGGATCTAAACAAAAGATTTCTAAATAAGATGGATAGAATCAGTACGACTTCCAAAAATGAATGGAAAGAATTCAAAATGTTGCTAAAAGAATCAACATATTTGAGAATTAAATTTTTGCATTTTTATGATTAATAAGTGGATAATTTATCATTTATCATTTAACATTGAAGTGTGTAATGGAATAAACCCCAGCTTTATCAGCTGTTGAGTCAATGATTGCAGAATCATAAACTATTCATTATTAAAGCATATACATGATTGTATATTCGATTGTAATTTAATGAGTTATCATTATTATTTAATTTTGAACTTTGACGAACATGATTTTCAAAATATGTTGAATAAGTTACATAACATGAAATAACTCAGTATTATGTCTAATTTTATGCTTTTGCGATGATATATTCATTAGATTTTCAGAAATGATAGATTCAAATTCATAATTGCGAATATACAATAAGGAGAGTAGGGGTAATTTTAGCTAAAAGTGACATGCCTGTAAAAAGTGACACGCCCGTGAAGGGTGTGATTACCGATCGGTAATTTCGACAGTTTAGAATTTAAAATTTTTTATGGAACTGTTGCGAGTTTCATAAAGAATTTAAGGAATATAAGCAAAGATTTGAATCAAAATCTTAGACCTAAGCCGCTCGATTCGCTCGCGGCTTCCGCGAATTACAGATCAGCAAAGATTTGAATCAAAATCTTCGAACTAAGCCGATCGCTTCGCTCGCGGCTTTCTTTATTATTTTAAATTTGCATATTTCCATCAAAAGTTCATAAGGTAAAAAATTTCGTTTATTTTTACTAAGAAAAAAAAGGTTTTTGATAATAAATTTATTTTATTTCGAAAAAGTAGCAATAATCGTAAAAGGGTATTGATAGGCTTGCTAAAGTAACTAATTTTAGCTGTCAAATACTTTTGTATTTTGAAGTAAATTAGTATAAATTTGTTTTTACTTTTATTTCGAAAAAGTAGCAATAATCGTAAAAGGGTATTGATAGGCTTGCTAAAGTAACTAATTTTAGCTGTCAAATACTTTTGTATTTTGAAGTAAATTAGTATAAATTTGATATTATTTTAACTCCCTTTGAAAACCTCAATTTTCCATACAGAGGGAACGGGAATAGCATCCAATATTCCCTGAGAATGGTTGCGCATTCTCAGTTCCCTCTATATTTCGAACGAAGCTCTCATCGGTCTTTTTTTTAATACTAAACGTTTTTTTCCCTGTCACTTTTAGCTAAAATTTGGGTTTGCCCAATAAGGATTTTTAAATTTTGATGCGAAAGTATTTTGTATGTAGATATGTAAAATAAAATCAAATTAAATCAAAGAATAATGACAAATGGGCAAATTCTTCTCAAAAATATCAGCTATTGTCTTAAAACTAGTAGCTTATATGGCGTTGACAGATATGTACAACCTTGAAAAGCAATGATAAATGTATTTTGGGCTAGATTTTATTTCAGTTAGATTTCAAATTGCATACAAATAAAAATCGGAGCAGGGTTTTAGTTTTTTGTACTATGATCTTATATTATTTTAAATAAAAACACATATTCAGTTTTAATGGGCTGGTAACCGAGAATGCTTTAAATTACAGAACAACTGAGTTTAATTAATGATAGTAGTGTTAAGCTATGATTCAGGCAGAAAATATTGATTTGGGAAATAATTTTTTTGAAAAAAGAACCGATCAAATATGACAGGCTTAGAGAATTATGCTTCATTATTAAAGTAGAATACTTTGTAACATAAAAATGTCACAATAGCTTTCTCTCAAAATATACAATCGATTTATTGAATTTTTTCCTTCTTAATAATTATATTTAATATAAACTCTACACTATTAAAAGTTAAATGGCCGAAGATAACTTGATTTGATAAATCACATTCAATTGATTGAGCTTTGTATTCAAAATATTTACTTCACTTCTCTTTAGCGAATGCTCTCTCAAGTTTGCCGCTTTGGAACAATCACAGCCGTCAAGGGTGGTGTCAAGAAGCAACTCAAGTTCGAAGATGACCAGACACTCTTCACAGTTCTTACAGAAGCCGGCCTCATGTCAGCTGATGACACATGCCAGGGCAACAAGGCTTGCGGCAAGTGCATCTGCAAGCACGTTTCCGGCAAGGTCGCTGCTGCTGAGGATGATGAGAAGGAATTCCTCGAGGATCAGCCAGCTAACGCTCGCCTTGCTTGCGCTATCACACTCAGTGGTGAAAACGATGGTGCTGTTTTCGAGCTCTAAATAATTGAAAGTTTATTAAATTGTTTTTGATTTTTTTCCAATACTTAAGTTACATTCAAAATGAATCGCTTTATTTTTTGTTTTTATGTTGTCACAGTCTATATTTCGGATCAACTGTTATAGAAGTTGTTTAATTTGTCTTCATATTCGATAGAAATAGGCATATACGTAAATTTGCCCTTTTCAATTTTAGCGAATCAGGCCATTCTGCATAAGAAATTGATAAGCGCGAACAATGTATTCGAAATTAAGAGCTTTGCATCAAAAATGCCTTTGCATAAATAATGCCTTTCGATCGTTGTTTAAACGATGAAACTGCGAAGTTACTTATTTACATTTGGCTTCAATACAGTAGAATTTCGACTATATATTTTAGACGAAATGCAAGATCAAATACCATCATTATTTGTTACTTCGAATTTAAAACAATTTCTATTAGCTCTTAACAGAGAAAATCTTACTTAATAAAACTGCATTAGGTGTTTCAGTTCTTTTCGATGAAAAAGTATAAAACACCATAATGTATCTTTATTGACAGAAACACCACGTAAAATATGCAACCATTCTGCACGTATTCTATACTGATTGTTTGACTTTGTCTATTCCATCATTTTCAAAATTTTATTTCTCAATACAATGATACAGACCAATAACTTCATCTTCCTACTGCATTGCTTGCCTTTTTGAGCGTTGGCATTGTTTTCTTTTCATGATGGAATATTGTTGCAATTAACAATTCTAAGAATAACCAAAATGGATGGCCTAATTTAACAACCCACTATGTGTATAGTATTTTACTTACTAGTAAAAAGATATCGATGTTTAATTAAAATTTTCATAATATTTACAAAATCTGGTCTTCCTAATTCTATTCATATCACAGTTTTCATTCTGACTAAATAATTTCATCTAGTAACACTGCCATATTCCTAATTAGAATATATCTTATAACTTTTTTTATGTATATTGAGCTTTTTAATTATAACAGACATGTTTTCCAGTAGAGAGTGATCTATGTAAGCATTGGCTATTGCAGAAATTATCATTTGAATGATTTGGAAATTTATTTTTGGAGCAGGCAGCTAAATTTTTTGTATTATTAAATATGTTTATCTAAACTATTTCTATTCTCAAGTAAAATGATATGATATCTTTATTTCAAATCAATGTTGCTAACTCTCAAGTTTTTTGACAAGCAATCAGACTGCGAACTGAAACTCGAAGAGCCAGCAATTTTGGCATCATCAGGATGCGGATTTCTTTATACAATTGATAATGCAGGCAAAATTTCCCAAATTGATCATAATAAACACATTATTTCAGAAGAAACAACCTTAGATCAAGCAACACATATGCGTGCTGCCCAAGCATCGCAAGATGTTCTTGTTGCTTCTCCAATGGGAAACAATTATCAAATAGTTTTATTAAATTCTCTGAATTTTATTGAAGGATCGCCAAAACCAGGACAACCATTTACACTTCCAATTAAAACAAAGGCCAATGATGCCTCCAATTTCACAACATCTGCAAATTTAACTTATTTAGCATTTACGAATTCATTAAATGAAATACATATATTCAAATCACCCTATACAAACAGATCGAAATCCATCAATACCATTTATTTCACCGATCAAATTACTAACTTGTTACTTACAGAATCCGGAATTTTGTATATCACAACAACCAAAGGAGTTTTCGGATACAACATCGCCTTAAAGCAACAAACACAAATGGAGAATGAAGGTGTTAAGCCAGGATTCGCCTTTCTCAACTCCCTCGACAATTTATTTTTATGTCGCGATAAAACAATTGTTTATTACAGTCCAAGTGGCAACAGAATTACTCATGAACTCGAATTACCACCGATAAAAGTCGGTCCCGTTGGCAGATACTGTTATTCTGCAGCAAATGCCCAAATTTCAACATCTTTCTTAGTCATGGACCTCGAATATGGGCTTCTCGTGAACAGTCAGAACATTGGCAGCACAGTTACATTCGTAGATTACCAATGGGGATCATTAATTTCGATAACAAAATCAAATACGATCAAAATGTATCAAGAAATGAAATCTCAGCCGAAAATCGACTTGTTATGTAAGAATTTAAGGTTCGAAATGGCAATTAAAATGTCCAAATCCTTTAATTTGGGATTATCATCAGAAGCAACGATTAATCAGCTTTATGCCGACTATTTATTCACACAGCATAACTACAATGCTGCTATAGATCACTATATCATGACAATTGGCTACACAGATCCAAGCCATGTCATAGCAAAATTTGTAGAGCCTCATCATGCGGAGCATTTAGCGAATTACTTAGTAAAATTACCTCGCGATATCATTACAAAGCAGCACACAACACTGCTGTTCAACTGCTACACGAAAATCCGAGCTACAGGAAAATTAGATGAAATTGTCAAGAATTTTGTTGATTCTGCAAAGCGAAACGAAGAACCTAGCTTCGATGTCGAGACCGCTGTCGATGTGCTCAAGCGAAATGGCTACAAACAGCACGCATTGAGCTTGGCAAGCGCTTTTAAGTGCCATTCGCTTTACTTGTCACTTTTGGAAGAGGAACTTCCCGATTATGAAAAAATGTTGAATTATATGAAAGAAATTCCTGGTGAACAAATACAAAGAAAATTGGTCCAATATGGTGCAGAAATCATTGATAATTCAGATGAAAAATTAAAAGAGCAATTAATCAACTTCTGCATACAGGCATGCACAGAAGGTATCAAGAATGAGCGAAGGGAAGGCAGTACCATCATCAAACCTGAAGATTTGGCCTTCGTTTTCTTAAATGATGATAAAAGTCACTTCACTTTCCTTTATAGGCTTCTTAACAACAACCCAGAGATACTTACAGAGAATTCCTGGAACGTTCTCGTAGAAATGTGCCTCAGAAGCGATCCTTCCAAGATAAAAGAGATTTTGACACATAAAAGTGCGAAATACAACAATGAAGAGGCCTTAGTTTTCATGAACTCGTTCGGTATCGAAGATGGAAGAGACATTTTGTACGAAAAAATGAAATTATATTCGATGATTTTACAACAATCTAAGCCAAATGACGTTTTATCGATCTGTTTGAAGTTCGGTGATGAAGATAAGACACTTTGGTATGACGGATTGGTGAAATTATCAACTTCTTCCAACATTGATGAGAAAATTATCACAGATTTCGTAAAAGAAGTCAGCCAAAGGGATGTTATACCATTTATGACTATTTTACGAACACTCCAGAAGTCAGGAAGCCACAAATACAAAGTTGTTTTGCCTATTATCCAAAATACCTTCTTGAAAGAACAGAATTTTCTACTAAATGCCTCTAAAAAGATGAAAGAAAGCGAACAGAAGGAAGAGGAGAACAATAAAATCATCGAAAGGATCACAACAAAGAATTTCCAAGTAAAAAGAACGAGATGCGAGATTTGTGGTCAAGACATTGATTCAGAAAGCAGACATTTCTTCTGTGGCCATTCATTCCATGAGAATTGTCTTGGAGATTCAACGGAATTTTGCATTAAATGCAAATCAGAGTACGAAAAGATTGTTTCTTCAAAGATAGAAAGAATGGAGAGTGCCATGAGACAGAATGATGTCCAGAATGATAAAGGAAATGGTTTTGAGTTCCTTTTGAATGAAATTTCTAATTCTTTGTTTACTTCGTCTGTAGATAACGAAGACCAAGAGCAAAGTGAAAAGGCAATAGAAAGTCCAAAGGAGTTCCTTAGGAAACTTCAATATTAAAAGTTTTTTTAGATCAGTTTATTTTGTTATAAAAAATATCAATTTTTTATTAAATTCAAACTATAAACAGCATTTGACTGCTATTTGTATTCAGAAATGAATCAATTTCTCATGAAACAAATTTTTTGAATTTAAATTTTGTTTATTTTGTAACTTTATGCGATAAACTTGCTAAGCCTAAACAGAATCTTAAAATTGATTCACATCATCTCGGAATTATAAACATTTAATCTTGTTATAATAATTTAACTTTTTTTTTAGAAATCAGAGAGCAATAAGACATCCAAATTTTTATATAAGCATGGAACAAGTACAAGTGGCACATCGTCTATTATATTGATATGCTTCAATGAATTACATATTAGGATAGACGCCAAATAATGAGGAAAATTTCATTCCAAAAAATACAGATTATATTTAAAACGATTGCATAATATATCATTATGAATTGCTAATATTGTGAGTGTGTTCAAACCTATGCTAATATAATGGTTTTTATATGGAGTGAAAAAAAACGCAATAACTATTTTCTAAATAGATAAAAAAATGCAATTTAATTATTTAGCATGAAGAGAACAATATCCACCTTTGACACGAGGATTATCACATTTTTCTTTTAAGCAGCGATGAGTTGAACAATAATGAATTTTGTCATTATAAATTCCCTGCCTGCATAATCTACATTTGTGTTGAATGCAAAAATCACTTCCTTTCACTTTTTGATCATTGCATCGTTTGCACTTATGATCCTTGCAATATCTGCATTTATCAGCTACTTTATTTTTGCATAATAAGCATTTGTGGACACTACAAAATTCGCATCTTTCAACAACACAATTGTTGCAGAGTTTGCATTTATGCTTTTTGCAAAAGCTGCATCCATCAACTTTTTTATCTTGGCACATTGAACATTTATGAAGATCACAGTATTTAGAATTTTTGGAATGCAAATTTGTGCATTTATTATATTGGCAGAGGTCTGCTTTATTAACTGTTGGTTGTGATGCTTCGATCTTTGATTTATTAGAACTTGTGGGCTTGCTAGTAGATGATGTTGATTTCATCTTATTCAATGATGCTGATGATGATAGCAAGTCATCTTCTGATCTATTAGAACAAGCTGGTCTATGAGAAGTAGATGATTCGTCATCATATCTTGATCTATTAGAATAAACTGGTCTCCTTGGAGTAGTTTCTCTCTGAAAACTGAATGAATTTTGATTTTCATCATCATCTTCTTTGGCCTCCTCATAGTATTCATCTTCATCATCATCATTTTCAGATACATTTTCATCATCATTATCATCATTTGTTACTATTGTTATATTTCCATTAGCATCTTTGGTTATTTTTGTGCTTGAAGAAGTGAAACTGAACTGGCATGAATCGCTATTCATCATATTTCTAAATTGTGGTTGGCAATTCATCATTTGTTGTCCAAACATTTGCATCATTGGCATAAATCGATGCATGTATTCCTGCATATATTCTTGTTGGGCACTCATTAAACATTGTTTAAGTTTGCAAGTATCTTTTATATAACAAAAGCAATTGAATGTTACAGTTCCTATGCAATTCAATCTATGATTTTTATGACAATAAATTGCACAATTTTCGCATATTGGATGCTGAGGATCACATTCAAGACAAACATATGCCTTTCCTTCACAGGGTGTTCTCCCATATTGCATGGCAGTACACATTGGGACATTCATGAGACGATTTTGATTTTCCTCAAATTTATTTCAAAATGAGTAGGAATTTATAATCTCAAGTTGTGAAAAATAAAATTAATTGTCGAATAAAGCAAATCTTGAATTAAAACTTGACCCTGAAGATTTGCCATATTTTTGAACTAAAGTACTCACAAAATCTAGATTGAGAGGCGGTCAATGACTTTTGAGGGGAAATTAACGCATGGAATTTAATATTATTTAGGTTGATATTCTTGCTTATTATTTCAGAAAAATCTTAAAATTTTCAATATGAAAATTGAAAGCAATTCAAAAAAATTGCTAACATGTAAATTTTAATATCCTATGCATAATTTCATATTTTGAACATTTTGTATTTTTGTTTAAAACTTAAAATTTTGCGAATTTAATATAATTTATAAAATATAATACGTATATATATTTAAAATACACTAAATTTAATTGTTAATTGACGTTTTTGGGAATGAATTTTATCAAAACATGCCTGAATCCGAAAATTTGAAAGAACGAATTACACAATCATATATGTAGAATTCAAAATACAAACTTAAAGATTGTATACGTTTAAAATTATTCAGATTGTGTTTGATTTCCACTCATTCTGTTTCTTTTGAACTCTAACACTAACATTTCATGATGATTACATGATCCATTTATACATGGTTGAATTGTTCCAGATTCTACCAGAAAATCAATCCAAATTTCTCAATGCATTCATGTTGATTGGACAAAATTTAAAATTTATCAGCCTGTTTCCAGAGAAACTCATATATTCCCTAATGAAATGTAATTTTTGCTACATTTATTTCAATCAAATTTCAAAAAATTGACTGCAGAGCTTGAAAAGGTGATGAATCATGTTGTTATTAGATGTACATATTAGATTTACTATTTCCAAAAAATGCTCAAATTTGAATAGTTTTTAGAAAATTTGGAATTACACTCCTTACATTATATATAATTAAATGTTTAAATTTTATTTATTTTTCCCTTTTAATTTTATAACGTGCTCTATCAAAACTAACCTCTCAATTGAAGGCCACAAAATCTAAGTAGTGAGGGTACACAAATTTTGTATGGAGTACGGTTCAATTTTTGAGAGCCTCACTACTTAGATTTTGTGACTACCTTATTTGAAAGTAACTTGAGAGACTCAGAGATTCACATTGGATATTTGTGCATCCTATAAAGAAGAGGACCACTGAAATTGCATATGTCACTTTTAATTTTCGACAAAACAAATAAAAACATTTTAATATGTATCTAAGAATCTACTATAGACCATATTTTAATATGTATCTAAGAATTCTATAACAATCATTATGACCACTCAGGAATGAACTTGCTATATTCAAATTTGGACTTTATTGAAATTTATCATGCTATTAAGTATAATCTTGGTCATAAAAGATGCTAATATTAGAATAATGAATTGAATATAAAACTATATGGAATATAAGACTATATTAAGATCTTAACACAAACAAATCTTTTTAAAAAAAAAAAAAAAAAAAATGTTATAAATCAGCATCAGTGAATTGAGAGTCATATGAAGAAGAAGATTGTTCAACATAAATAAATTCTTCTTCTAATTTCTCAGATTCGACCGAATCTTCAGAATTATCGGACGGAGGCGTTGCAGGAATCTGGTTATCATCCCATTCAGGGCTTTCCTGGAAGTCCTTTGGGAATCTTGCTCTTGCATTAGCTAATAAGATCGTTCTCAACATTTTTCTTGAGTTTATTAAGTCCAAGAAATCCTTTCTCCTCAATCTCCAACCATCAACAAACGTTACAGCCTTAATTGTCTTATCCTGTGGCTTTCCGAACATCAACTGTCTTTCGCCATCTACATAACCGCTATCGACATTTAATGATGCCAAAGGAACATCATTTAATATCAATTGTATTATTCCGTGATTGAAAATCAGTAGATCAGGGACTTCTTCATCTTGTTCGCAGATGATATCTCCTGGTAGATAAGTAAATGGCTGCATGGAATTCATAATCAACAAAAGGTATTTCTGACCAACTAAATAAAAAAGAGGCATTCCTGAAAATGTTCTTTGACAGAACTCCAGTTTTATGCCACTTTGTATGCCCTTGGGAAGAGGTGCAAGAAGAGCTCGCCAACTTGGTGCGCCGTGGTTTCGTTCCCATGATCCTTGGAAGTAGTTTTTTATGTGGTTTTTGTAAAGATCAGGAACCCCCTTAAATTTGAGAAATCTCTGCATGGCTTCGTACTGGGATAAAAATTTGGTACCCATTGGATCAGATAATGCATTAACCATGTTAGCAATTAATACAGATTGAAAAGTGACACCTGCGATTGTAATGAAGATGCAAACAATGACTTCTGGGGTAGATATTGGATGTATATCGCCATATCCAAGTGTAAGAATGGTCGTAAGGACGAAATAGATTGATGCAACATACATTTGGATTTGATTGTAATTTTGGTCTTTAAATTGAGTAATCCATGATTCATCTTTGTCGGCATATTTTCCTATGCTATATAATATGCATGCAAATACATGAATGATACATGATATAATAACAATCGGAGGAATTAAACTTGCGTAGCTTCTGTTGTAAAGTGTAGAGTCCATAATCAATTTGTATGATCTGTAGCATTGAGGTAATCGAAGTAATCTGTTTATTGAAAGATATAAATAAAGATTTGGATTTCCTTTGATAATTCCTATCCATCCTAAGGGTAATGAAGCTATGATGTGAATTACATAGAATGTGATACCGTAGTTCTTCAAAATCTCTTTCTTATCTGAAATCAAAATACCATTATGCAAAAAAGGAGTGTATAAAATGACAAAATTATCTGCAATTTGTACGACATCGAAAATAAAGAATACTGAGTATGTAGTAACTGATATGTTCCTGTCAAAGATCATTACAAAAGATAATTCAACAGGATAAAGTATTGAAATTATGAAAATAATGTACTCCCATATACGTCTTGTTACTGAGAAATATGACCACGCTCTTGTCTCGACTTTATCGTAGTTTGATGAAGGAATATATTCAGGAAATTGATTTTGATAAGCGGTAAGTTGGTTGATTGCTGGATCTGGTAATCTGTTCTTTGTGGAAAGAGGTCTTGGCATGGTCTCATAATTTCTTAAATTCATTTTATTCAAGTTTGACGATAGAAAAATTTAACTTTTATTTTTCTACATCGGAGAAGAGCACTTTTTTTTACACATCAGGAGAGATTATGCATTTAGCATATACGCACTCTGAAGATATGTTTTTGATAGGTTGGGTTAGGATCTAGTCATGCATGAATCTTCGATATATTCTTTATTGACTTCTTTAGAGGTAAAATGCTGACAAAATTTATCGCTCTCTCATAAGTATAATAGTTTAATACTGAAACTATATTTATTACTATATTTTATTTTCTCTACTTATTATTCCGAATGTTCACAATTATTGAGTTAAATTTCTGTGTATCACGGAATAATTATAAAATATATTAAAATAATTTATGAAATTCACATTAATCGATTCTATTTTTATTACGTTGATCTCAATTATTGCATTGTATGCCCGACTGTATACAATAGCGCATCCAACAGTTGTTACCTTCGATGAAGTTCATTTTGGAAATTTCACAAAATGGTATATCAACAAAAGATTTCATTTTGATATCCACCCACCTTTGGGTAAAATGTTAATGGCATACATATCAAAAGCAAGTCAATATAAAGGAAATATCGATAGTTTTAATAATATTGGTACTGCATTTAAAACAAATGAGACAGCTTACTTAAGTGTTCGTATTATTCCTGCGATATTCTCATCTTTTGTCTCTCCTTTATTATATACAGCGCTAAGAAATTTCGAAGTTAGCCCATTTACATCTTTTGCTTCAGTTTTTCTTGTAGCATTTGACTCATCCATGATTACAGAATCCAAATTTATTCTTTCTGATGGCATGTTACACTTCTTTTCTGCACTTCACATTGAATGTTTCGCATTATTCATGCGTACTCAGAACAATTATCATGTGGTATTAGCAGGTATTACATTAGGATGTGCGTCTGCTTGCAAATATACCGCTTTAGGTTTAATCGCATTAGATGGCTTAGTTCAAGTAGCCTGGATCCTTGTAAAATGGCCATCAATCATAGATATCATATTACGAGCAGGTCTGATACTTGTTCCTACATTTTTTTCATTTGTTACGGTTTGGATTTTCCATTTCGCGCTTACTCCTTACCACGGACACAACAGTAACTACATTGACCAAGCAGACAGACATACCCTCATGGAACTTGACAATCCGAACACTTCTTATTGGGGAAATCGACTTACAAAATCTCCCCTCTTTTTACGTATAATTAAATGGAATATTGTCATGAATGCCATCAACATGAGATCAAACTGTCCACATCCTTGGTCCTCGTCACCTGAATATTGGCCTCTTCTAATGGATAAATATGTTATGTTTTATTCATCGGGAGAATATCGTCAAATCATGTGTTTTGGCCTACCCGTTAGTTATTGGTTCTCAGCAGCTAGTATTGTTCTAGCTATTCCCTTCTTATTCTTCAAACTTTCCGATTATCGAAATTTAATTTGGATTCTCGGATGGTCTGTTTCATTTTTCCCCTTCTTAAGAGTCCCAAGAACCATGTTCCACTACCATTACTTGGTTCCTTTGATGTTCGCAACTCTAAATTACGGAACTCTCATTGAAAAGTCCCTGGAAAACCATTTGTTCATGAAGAGTTTTGTAAATCTCCTGACCATGGCCTCTGTTTTCTCATGCTACTTGTTTTTCAGCCCTTACATCTACGGAACACCTTGTCCTCAATGTGGAAACACAAGAAGCTGGGTTAAGGCATGGTCAAATGGTCCTGCACCGTCATTTAGTTACTACAATAAGCCAATGTACCATACAGCTCTACTTAAGGGATCTCTTCCTTTGTAATTTATATATCTTTTGTCAATTTTTTTGTATTTATGTTTCTTTAATCGAATTAAAATAAATTTACTATAATTATCTTATTAATTACATCAAATTTCTTGAAATAAAATTTATAAACTATCTGTTATGTGTAAATACTCAAGTAGTCAAGTATTATGAAGATATCATAATTTCTTTTGTAATTGTTCACTAAAAGCTATATTGAAAATATAAAAAAATCATTTAGAATCAAATTTGCACAACGCCAAGTTATAAGCTTGGGGCTTCAACTCCCATAACTTCACAAACCTCTTTAGCAATCTGAAGTCTAATCTTTCTAAGGCTCTCAAGAGGATTCTCCTCATCAATTTCAAGAGGTGGAAGTGTAGATGGTTCTGGAGCTGGACGAACAGCTTCAACTGTCTTGTTGATAATATCTGAGAAGCGCTGGAATTGATCATCTGGTAGAAGGCCACGAAGATTTTCAATAAGGAGTAAACGCTTTGAGTTTCTTTCTTCGATCTGTTCATCAAACTCGTGGATTGATTTCATTACGGAATCGATTTCTGCTTTGAGTTGGTCGAGTTCTTGCTGTTGTGCAGCGTCAGTCATATCTGTGGGTGTAAATGAAATCGATTATTTTCCTCTCAAAATAATTATTCCGTTTAAAAATATTTTTGGTGACGTTTCTTTATTAATTAAAGCCATGAAAATACTTTATTTGTCTTATGCTCAGCATGCTTATCCCTTATCATTGATGTATTGGCGCAAATTAAAATTCCGTTGCATCTGTAAATTTTAGGGGGTAAGTTTGAATAGTTTACATTGAAATATACAAAGAAGAAAGGGCAGATATCAGAGTTGCACCGTGCTTGGTAACATTTCCAATCTTTAAATAGTATCTGTAATTTGCAAAAAAAAAACTTTTTGGCGCAATATTTTTAATATTCTGGCATAACATATTAGCACTATTACATCATGTTGACTCTCATTCGAAATAAAACCGAAATTTAAGGCTCTATCTGCATAAATATCTTTATCTTTTAATTTGAACATCGTATCATTTCATGCAATGCAATTATATTCACAGCATACTTTTGATTCTTGTTTACTCTTCAAATAACAAGTTATAAGAGCTTAATTATCTATAATCATTGAGAAAATTTGAGTCCATAAAAAATATCATTAAATTTCTATAAAGGTCAGGTAAGTGGGGCTTCCAGGCGCGTTGCGCCCTCTAGCCCATAAGAAATTTTGCCCAAGACCCAAGAGGAGGACCGAACCCCAGCCGACCAGCCGGTGACAAAACCAAAACCGTTGTTATTTACATCATATTAATAGTATCACTTTTTTAAATGTCACTTTTTGTGTCACTTTTCACAAATTATATATGTTTTCATGTTTTGTCACTTTTCGGGTAAAAACATTTTTATTATTATATATAAATGAATTTTACAAAACCGCCGTTACCGTTCTTTGGAAATAAGAGTAGATGTAAAGATATTATATTGAGAGAACTTAAGAAACTACTGAATGGTCTAACATTTGTAGATTTGTTCGGTGGAAGTTTCTATATATCCCATTTATGTCATACCGTATTTCCTGACTCAAAGATTATATGCAATGACTTCGACAACTATATGGACCGTCTCAAACATATTCCAGACACAAATAATATATTGAAAGAGTTAAAAGAAAAGATACCTATAGGTAAGATGGAATGTATACCATTAGATAAGAAAAATATTGTGAGAGAGGTTTTGAAAAAAGCAGAATATATAGACTGGGATAGTATATCTGCTAGACTATTATATAGTGGTGCTATAAGAGTTCATGACATTGAAACACTTATGTCAAAAGTTTTATATCTTAACTATACAAATGTTTTCAAAGAGGACATAGAAAAATATATTGAGGGTATAGAGTTTGTGAAGTTAGTATACATATCATGGGTACGGCGGCACTGCGCGCCTCCTTACCCATTATATGTGAATTTGACACTTTACAAAACCGTTAACGTATATTTTACAACACTAACGACTTCACTAACGAATTCACTAATATTTTCACAAACGACTTCACTAATGTAAAAATAAACGTTCTCACTTACAAAAGTATTGCAACTCCTCCCATTGCTGTGCTTCATATAACAGCTCATAATCTTCTGACTCACTTTCTTCTTCATATAGGTCAAAGTCACTGTCATAGTTTATACCTGTAAGTTTTGACAAAGCTAATGAAACACGCTTACCGTTTGTATCTATTGCTTTTATTATCTCCATTTGTTTGTTGTCATAAATGCTTAACTAACTTTACCCTTTCCTCGTATCTGATAGAATGTATTTCACGAGGAACGAAGAAAAAGTTCTTGAACTCATGACCGTTGTAGTTTGTTATCTCAATAGTTTTCGTCATTACATCCAAATAAAAATTTTCAGTAAAATAAACTAACGTTAAAAATTTCTCATAACATAAACGTTCTCATTACTTTATAACTCTCTTCCTTTCTCCAACTCTTCTAACTTCTTCTTAAGTTCAGCAATGTTGTCCTCATGAAGTTTAATCTTTCTCAAAATTCCTTCTTTATCTAATGGTTGCTTTATCTTTCTAAACTGAACTCTACCATCCTTCATAGTATGAATGTAAAAACCTTCTGGAATAGTTCCTGATTTAATGTATTCTACCAAAAACTTTTGTTTCATTGCTTCAGTGACTTTAGTCGTCATTTCAATCAAATAAAAATTTTAAATTAAATAAAAATAACGTTATTTTTTCAGTAAGGAAACGCAGGAGTTTTACGATTTATTTGAGGGTAGGTTCTGGTTTAAATGTTGGAGTCGGTTTAGGAGTTGACTTTTGAACAGGAGTTTGTACTTCCATAGGTTCAGGAGTTATTGAAGGTTTTGCTTGTGAAGGCGTTGGTTTTGGCGAATGTGTTGGAGTTTGTTTAACTTCAGCTACTTCAGTATTATTTATAACATTTGCTTTATTTCTTTTCAACATCATAACTGCTCCTGCTGTAGCTAGCAAACCTAGTGGGAGACCATATCTTATATAAGGACTTGACCAAATGCTATTTTTGACAGGAGCTGGTGGAACACCTAACCTTGGTGAGACTGCTCTTTGCCATTGTGCAGCTCGTAAGAAATATTCAATAGGTGCTCCATAATCGTTTGGTAAAGTTTGTTTCATAGATGGTGAAGGTTCGCGAGAGCTTGATGAAGAACTCATTTATAAGCTTTAAAAATAAACGTTCATCCTTTATTCCTCACTGTCGTCCGTGGCTAAGTTATAGTCATCTAATCTTATTATGGGGATGCCATTAGCACGCACCTGAATGGCAAAGCAACAATCCCTCATAAATCCAATAAGTGGCTTTGGTACGTTTTCAGTTGCTAGTTCAATAGGTCCTTTAACAGACAATTTGTATGTTATTGGAGCAGTAGATGTTTGACCTTTGGAAGCAAAAGTCCACTTCTGTTGGAAAACCACATAAGAAATGTGTGTTGTCATAGCTATCCCATTTATGTTCCACACTACCATCATCCACCAATGACCTCATAACATCTTCATTAAATCCTATCATATCATTGTTTGTATTGCAAGCGTTCGCAACCATTTCATAAAATACAGGTCCATATGATTTTTCAGGTTCTGCAGGCATATTTCCATAAGCTCCCATGGAAAGCTGAAGATATTTAAACTTAGGGTTCTCAAAATTAACATAATAGTTGTCTTTCTTTCTAAATAGTGCCCAAATACTTTTAACATTAATAGGCGTATAAGCTGCTGTAAATGTTGCACTTGAACTATCTGTATTCTTTGAGAATGAACCGTCCATAGGAATCCAATCCATAACTTTAACAGGAAAACATAAAGCCTCGTTTGTATAATGTTCTACAAGTTCTGTATAAATGTTAGGGTCTAAAGAGAATGACTTTGGATGAATGAAACATTCATTAAAATCCATCTTTGTTCGAAATAGTTGCTGGGTTACAGTTGTAATAGTAACTGTTCCACTAGCTTCTACTGCCTTCGTTATCATAGTGAATGGTTCATTCCATGGAACAAATTTATTTGTCGGTGGATTTGAATCTGAAGCAAATGCAACTTTAAGAGTTGGATTGAAAGCAATGATATCATTTACAGATATAGATGTGCATTGTAAGGCGTCGCTACTGAACTTTACTTTAAGCTGAATGTTTCCTGCAAAAGCTGGAATAAATCTTATAGCTTCTAATGGAAAATCTTCTAACAGGAATTCTTAAACGAAGCTTAAAATCAAATGATTTTCCTGCTGTAATTGGACCACTAACAATTTGTCCTGTTCTGCATGTTCCCGAATGACTCCATACATCTTCATGTCGAGTCTTTGAGAAAACATCTACTTTCTTTATTTGTTCGGTAGTTTGTGAGTTTGAAGTTATATATGCTTCTTCTCTTGCGTTGTCTTGAGAATATACGATACGACCATTTGCAAGGATTTGATATCCAGCAACTGCATAGAAAGCGTCATCGAAACCAATCCAAAATCCTGGTGGGTTTGTTTTATTGGAACCTGAACCAATTTCTTTATCTACAATAAATTGACCTTCCATTTTATACGTAATGAATGTATTGTAAAGGTCCAACATATTTTCACCAGGAGGTGAGAGATTGAATGTTACCCATGTGTTATCTTTAGCAGTTCCAGGTTGTGATGGAATCTTTGCGTCAGAATATTTTCTATTAGTGTCACCAATTTGAACTGCATTGTCTATGATATCGAAATATGAGCGAATCTGATGAATATGCTCTGCTGGAGTAAATTCGTTTAGCTGTTCGTTCTGCATGTATTTACTTCAGATAAAAATATCTATTTACTTCATTATTCTCACTCTTCTTCTTGGCATTCGTGGTGGAAGTTGTTTCTTGACATTTTCAATGAACTGTACATTCTCTTTTGTCTCAACTTCTTTCACTGGCGGGTCAGGGTTCTTTGACTCGGTTTGTTTTTCAATGAAATTCACGAACTTTGCAATAAGCTCTTGGTTCGTTATTGAAAGTACATCTGGCTTCTTTTCTTCTTGTTCTTTGCTCAGTTTGAACAGAAGGTTTTATATGGCTTCGTGGACTTCACCCTTGCCATGCACCTTAATGTTGTCGCTCTCTGCATTCGCTAATGGAACCTTTCTTTTTCTTACGTATATTTTACCATCTTTACTCTGACTTACGTAATAGAAAGGATGTTGTATTCCTCTTGCGTCATTTAATATAATAGACTCTCGCTCTGATTTTGACAAGCTCATTTTACATCGGTTAAAGTTTTAATTTTGTTTTTTATCTGCAGTCAAATGACTCAGACAAGCCCTACGGACAAGACCCAAGGTGTCATAGATGTTGAAGCATTGAAGAAAGAAATTCGTGAGCAAATTTTATCCGAACTGAAGGAACAAAAACAAGAACAAAAGCCAGAGAGACCAAAGAGAAAACTTAGTGAAAAACAACTTGCTGCAATTAGCTGCTGGAAGACAAAAGAACCCACGTTTGCTGGCAAAGAAAAGCTAGAGAAGAAGCTGAAGCAAAGAAAGAGTAAATGGTTTATTTTTATCCGAATTAAATGTATAGACAAATACCTTTATCTGTTGCGTTCAGTAGTGAAAACCCTGACGTCAAAATAAAGGGGAACAGAGTAACGTTTAAGTTTCCAACAGACTGGATTGTGAACATAAATGAAGAGAAGTACATTGGCATAACATCTATGTATATAACACGTGCTTTCAGAAAGGTTGACTTTATACTTCAAGTCGAGATAGAAAATGACGAACAGTCTTTAAGCGCCCAAAACATTCACATATACAAATACTTTAAAGACGATACAACATTGTTGCAATGTATGATTTCATTTAATGAGATGTTCGAGAAAAAGTTCAACATTGAAGTACAAACTTTACAGCCTTTACGTGAGTTTCTTGCACAACTGAAAGAAGAAGGTAGTCAGCCACAACTTATAGACTTTCATTATGAATTTAATGAAAATGAAGATGGAACTCATGACTGTCATGTTATTATCTCACCATTCAATGAAGTCGCTAAAGAGAAAAAAATCCATTACGTATAAGATTTCAAATCTCCGAACCAAGTGATGATTTTAAGAATGTTTTCAATTATGATGCAATGCTTCCGAGGAAAAATGAATTTTCAAAGATTGTAACACCTGGCATTTGGGATAGAAAGCAAGCTATATTATATTCAAACTTAAGTAAAGGAGTTGAAAATGAGTTCATTGGTCATACAAGAACTTCACCACTTCCTAACCCTAAATACTATAAATTAACTGGCTTCAATCGTGAGTTTTGGATAGACATGTTCTCCACTCATGACCATAAATGTCCAGTGTTCTTGCCTCCAGACCATAAGGACTGTCTCTACATTGAAGCACAACTCTTAAACTCTACCATCGCAGTATTGTAAAATCTACGCTAGCTTTATTTTTATCACGAATGACCTCATTCATGACCTCATTCATGACCTCATTGCTGACAAAAATAAATGACCTCAGAACTTCAACTTACGAATAAAGCTTGTTTTAGTCGTTATTGAAAAGTTGAACTTTTCAGCAAAGCAAGGTTGACATGACTTACATAAGTCGAATGCAATCTCTTGACCATCATGAAGTGCTTTGTAAAGTTTCATTAAACTGAACTCAGAGTCTTTGTCATATGTTCCAACAGGTATGTGAATGTTCTTATCTTCATTGTAATAGCATTGTATAGCTTCAGGAAACATTTCATTAGCGGTTAAAGCAATAACATCTTGCTTCACGCCTTTCATTCTGCAGTGAAATGCAACTTCATTTAAATCGTTAGTGAGTAAGTCTATGTAGGTCTTCTTTCCACAGAAAATACTTTTATAAGCTAAACTTTGTTTTCCAGGTGTTATTTCTGCAAAGTCGCTATGAAATTGACCAAGGTTCTTTCCTATAAGTTCGCGACCATATCTCTTCTTAAACTCTGCTGCAAGCTTTGGGATGTCTTCATTATATAAGTGCATACTGTCGGTATCCTGGTAAAAGATTTGAAGTCCCATGTCCTCTGCAGTACAGAATACTTCATTCATAATACGTTTTGACATAGACAGAATATTAACACCAAGTGGACAGAAGTTAAAGTGTCTGCAAATGCTTTTCGTTAGCTTGAAAATAGTTTTATCTGAACCATCCAAACCTTCGAACTTCACTATATGGTTGTAATTTCTTATAGCATATCTTATAGCATCTTTGTCATTTACTATGGTTATTTTTGACTCAATAGGAGATAGAATAGTTTTGCCATAAATGCTGTTCAGAATGAGTTTTATAATTTCTTGTAAGGGGTTTTCTTCTTTCTTATACTTTAACCTTAACTCAAACAACTTCTTTACTTCATCTCTTATTCTCATATCTCTGTTTCCATCGTAATAGTATCCTTGCAACACTTCACATTTGACACCTTGATATTTTATGAGGTCTTGTAATGTTATATGGTCAACATACATGAGACAGCAAGTGTTTGAACTTCTTGGAACGTTAAGTTCTGGATTTAGTTCAGGGTCGCAAACTATTAAATGAAAGTGTCTGGGTATACCAATCTCTGTTATCTTAATGAGAACAAAGAAGCCAGACATAAACTTTTCACCAATGGGTTCCTTTTGGTCATCATCGAATAAATGTCTCATGAGATACTCTGTGCTTAACATCTCATCCTTCAATACTTTTGGAATACCTTCTAAAGTATAAAGTCTTGCTATAGCTGAAGGATATAATGAAACAGTGTCGAAGTCAGCAATGAGTTTCTTTTTGCTCTTTTGTTTCATGTTATCTGACAACATACATCTTCCACCTTGAATGCATCTCGAAATAAATTCTCTTGGTTTATTTGAGAGGTCATAAAGATTTCCATTCGGGAAGTATACTCTGTTCTCAAACAATTTGTTAGCAATAGAACAAATACTAACGTAGTCATAAACGTTTAAATCAAACTCTTTCAATAAGTCATTGCGGAACTTTACAAAACCTTCTCTTAAAATTCTTACATCTTGTTTGCAGTAAAACGTGCTATATTTTTCTAAGTCGAAGTGGTTTTCATCTATTCTGCAACCTTTGATGGAATCTATGTTCTTCATAAATGTATCTGCATCATGGATAAACTTACATGCTTCAGAAATGACACCAGTTCTGTTGTCATTTGCTAACAAAACACTGCTGTAGTAGTTATATGGAAATACTTCTTTCGGTCCTGTTTGTAAGTTAAACATAGCAGGAAATAGTTTAAGCTTCTTATTTATAACACTGTAAGAGTCTTTTATAATAATTGCCCGTCCTTTATATAAGCCAGTTATTTGCATTGTTCGTGAACCTTTAATGATGGGAGTTCCTTTCACTTCTGTCATGTGTCTTAAGATGAAGTTTATGTCATAACTGAGGTTATGGAAATATATTAAACTCTTGTCAGGAAGTCTTTCCAAAAATTCTGTTGCACAGTTTTGACCCCAAATGCTTTCACTAACTGAACCATCTTCACTGTCATAACAGATGTTAAAAGCTTTATGAAAGCCATCCGTACTACACTCAAAGTCAGCAAAGAAAACGTGCTCAGGTATGAATTTACATTTAGCTTTATTTACTTCTTTTGACTCTGCTTTCTTCTTCAGTTGTACACAATACTTTGGAGCATATGTCAAATCTTTAAATGGTGCAAGGTTCTGTTTATATAAGTCAGTAGTATATGTGAAAAGTTCTCCATAAGAAATAGGTTCGAAATATTTGCACTCCCACAATGTTTTCATAACATCCCATAACGGTGTTGTTCTATCATAACGAACTACATATTTATCTTCTCTCTTTGTATAAATCTTCATCTGTTTCTCAATGTTCATTCCACCACAAGCTTTGAGAATTTCTTTATAGTTTCGAATGAATATGTTGTCATTGGTAATCTTTCATTTAGCATGTAGTGGTCTTCAACAAGAAGTAAGTCAATAGTTCTAACAGTTTCGCATTCTTTTGGTATATATCTCTTTATTTCATTATGTCTTGAGTCATTGAAATAACCAATGGTAACATTAAATGATATACCTGTTGCGTCAGAAATTTCTTGTACTTTACTTTGAGGAAAGTCTCTAACACGAATGACTTCTCTCATGTGGTCAATAGTTTCTTCATTTACTCCAGCCTGAATGCAAGCATAAACGAAACAATTGTCCTCTGTCATAAGTGTTGCAGTTCTTTTGTTCAGTTCATTGAAGATTTGGTAGCGTTCAAGATTTATAGGTAATGTGCAAAGATACTTCCAGAACTGACCGCTTCTCTTCTTATAAAACTTCTTTTCACCATTATCTTTCCAAAAGCTTTCTATAAGTGCTGGGTTTCCTGTTTGCTTAAGAGCTTCCAAAATGGCTTTCTGGTCATTTGTCAGTGTGCTTTCATCTCTATATGGTCTCTTTTTTGGTTTGCCTTTCTTTACATCTGACATCGTTAAGCCTTCATATTCTGTTAAATCATACATCTTTATTTCGGTAAGATTCTTTATGTTTGTCAAGAAGAAGTCATAGTGCATTTCAACAATACCTGCAGCATTTGCTTCTATCTCTGATATAAAGTTCTCCTTCAAGAGCTGATGTAGTAATGTTCCAATATTATTGAGGTTTAACGTAGAACATTCATACTTTCCACCAAGTTTATAACATACCATCCATCTCTGTTGTGAGTTTATTTTAATTTTCTCTAAGAGTCTCATGAAAACCTTACCGAAATGTTTGTGTAAGTAGTCTCTGTTTGGTTCATCTAAAGCTTCGATGTTAAAGTCAATGAGTCTATTGCCTGACTTCACATTTCTCTTCCTATTCTCTTCATCTTTCTTTAACCATCTCTCACCTTCTTTTGGTTTGTCGTCAATGGAACGAATGACATCGTTAGCTTTGCGAACTTGTTCTATAGCGCTCTTAAACATCTCTCTTCTCTGTTGTTTCAGTGTGTCGTCTCTTCTTCTTGTTTCACCAACGTTCGCATTTGTTATGTCAAACATCTCTTGACGAACATCATGCGAAAGAGCTTTACGAGTATGACCAACGTTCGCATTTGTTATGTCAAACATTTCTCTTCTTACTTCATGCGAAAGAGCTTTACGAGTATGACCAACGTTCGCATTTGTTATGTCAAACATCTCTTGACGAACATCATGCGAAAGAGCTTTACGAGTATGACCAACGTTCGCATTTGTTATGTCAAACATTTCTCTTCTTACTTCATGCGAAAGAGCTTTACGAGTATGACCAACGTTCGCATTTGTTATGTCAAACATCTCTCTTCTTACTTCATGAGGTACTGAACGTCTATGATATAAGTCAATAGCAACGTCATTTAAAGGAAATGCTATTGCATGGACTTCGTCCTCGCCGCGTTGCGGCTTTATGAACTCATGAATTCTATCATAACTTATTGCACCATTATAGTCTTTAATGAAGTCAGCGAGTGCTTTTTTGTTTGTTGCGTAATGCTTTGCAACATCTATATTAGCTTCTGTAAGAAGTTGTTTTATTTCCGAGTGTTCTAACTTAGACAACTTCCGATACATCTTTAGTAGGAAATAAAAAAATATTTTTTGAAAAAATTAGCTTAGATTTTTTTAAGTTATTTTTCAAAATAATTTAATATTTTTATTTTAATGAAACACATGCAAGATTGCAAGTTCTTTTCATACAATGCTCTCGCTACTGCCATCAAGAATGAGTTCAATAATGCTTCAAATGTTAATATTATCTTTAACAAGAAGTTTGTGAAAGAATCTAAGTTTGGTCAGTATGTCAGACCATTAGCTATCGTCATTGACCGCAAACGTTATACTTCACAAGAGTTAGCAGTAGTTTTGAAACAAAAGAGTTTCTTCGTGAATGTCAAAGATACTCATTATACTGTTATAAAGAACTCTAACATTGACTTCTTCAGTATTGCTTTAAATCTTTCCGAACAGAAAGAATATAAGAAGGGTGAAACAAATGTGAAATATTATCCTTCATCTCTGAAGACAATAACGAACAAAGATGTTATACAGAAATTCTTACCAAAGGTTGAAGAAGCTTCTATTGACATTGACGAAGGAAGTGAAATGGTTGAAGAAATAGACCCTGAAGTTATTTAAGCAAAAATATATTTTTGAATAACTGAAAGTGTCACCACGTCACCATATGCTACCAGGTTAATTAACTTCTTTTAAAAATGATGACAACATGACATTTTGACAACAACACAGGAAATAAATTTTATCGTTAATGTTTACGTTAATGTTTTTCATTAAATTTTGACAAAGTGCAAATCTTCACTTCGTCAAAAAGTTAATGTTTTTCATTGAAATCGGTAAGTTTTCATTAAATTTTGACAAAGTGCAAATCTTCACTTCGTCAAAAAGTTAATGTTTTTCATTGAAATCGGTAAGTTTTCATTCTTCCTCTTTGAAGTTATCGAAATATTCTGTTATTTTTTCCTTCAGTAATGTTAAGTCTTCTTTGAATGTAAGTATTGTGCAACCTTTGATGTCATAGTGTGTTTGAGGAAGAGTATTTTTGACAATTTCCTTTATTTGCTCATTCGGTGTCATTGAAATCGGTAAGTTTTCACGATAGAACCAGTTTCTGTCAGATTTGTAAATCTTAGCAAGGTCATAAAAGCTTTTGTTGTTTCTTCTGACTAAATGCAACATAACCATATCTCTGTCTTCTTCATTTTCCATCTCTTCAGCGTAAATCATATACTTATAGCTTTTTTCCTTTCCTTTTGGTATTGAACGTGGTATTCTTTTCTGTATGCTTTTGTCTTTGGATTCAATGACTTCATCTTTTGCTTGAAGTTTCTTTTCCATCTCTCCACGTTCTGCTTTATATAGTTCATCTAACATCATGAAAATATAACAAGCATAACGAGGTGAAGCCCACATTGCTACAGCGTTTACTAAAAGTCTATGAACATAATAACCTTTCAAACCAGGAGCCAAATTCTTGCGATTTTCATACGGAATCTCTTCTCTCGGTTTTCCGAGGGAAGCAATCATATGAGGAAATTCTTCTAAAAGTTCTTTTGTCTGTTGGTTTTCAAACCAATGATATGCTTGCTTTGTAGAACGAAGAGCATTCATTATACTTTGCATTTGGTACATGTCATCTTTGACCGAACGAATGAGGCGAAGTTGTTTGTTATATTGTATGTATTCGTATTCTTCATTTATGGCTTCATGAACGATAGCAGTTGTTGTGTTCTCTGATGTTGACATTACTGTCTTTACATACAAAATAAAAAAATAAATAAAAATAAAACTAACTTTATTTTTCTGTGATAAAGAAATGTTAAAAATTCATGGTTACATATGTGAAAAGAAGTCACGAACAAATGAAGGTCATAAGATTCAGCACATAATTCTGAATTGAATGGTGTGTCATACATGTCAAACCGTCAAGAATTGAAGGAGATACGAGGCTATAAAGATTTTGGATATTTTCTGACACACACCCTGAGGGAAAAGTGACAAAACACGACGATAGAAAAAGTGGCAAAATTGAGAGAAAGTTGTTCCCCGACCAAAATGCAATCATGTTGAAAAAGTGACATTTGTAAAGTTGGACGATAGGATTTCCTGAAAAAGTGCAAGACTTGTCTTGAATCAGGACAAGATTTGTCTTGAAAAAATACAAGACTTGTTCTGAAAAAATACAAGACTTGTCTTGAATCAGGACAATTGTTCTCAAATTTGAGAACTTTACAAGAAAAACTGACTAAAAAGTGCAAGTCTTGTTCTGAATCAGGACAAGATTTGTCTTGAAAAAATACAAGACTTGTTCTGAAAAAATACAAGACTTGTCTTGAAAAAATACAAGACTTGTTCTGAAAAAATACAAGACTTGTCTTGAATCAGGACAAAACTTTACAAAATGTAAACTTTACATAACCGTTTCTATCGTACATGATATTTAGTTGACATTGTAAACTATCTTCATGTAAAGTATGGCGGTTTGAAACCGTCGGGAACCTTCACTTTTTTGACGAACTTTCCGCAGCAATTTTTGGAATTTTGTGAAAACTCAACGGTTTGACACATGCCATATGTCATTTTACTCAGAATTTTGTGCTGAATTCAATAAAAATAAATGGTTCATTTACTCACAATATTTTTTTACAAAACGACCCCAAACTTTTAACTTCTTTTCTGCAGCTTCAAATGCTATCTTAGCGAGTTCATATTCTCTAAATTCTCTCTTTAAATCTTCTTGTTCCCATTGGTCTAGTTCGTATGGAGAATCTCTATAACCATAACATATCTCACGTTCATGTTCTAATTGTTTTTCACACATTTTTCCAACTTCTTCTTCGAACAAAGGTTTAGCATTCTCCACTGTATCTTCGAGTTCTTCTTCATCTAACTTCTCATGAACTTTCTTGTCTATGGAGTCCATAATATCTTTGACATAAAATGCATACTTTACAGAGCACCATTCAGCAACAAAATGAACGAGGTCAGCATGTATGTAAATACCTTTGAATTCATTCATAACGCCCTTAGTAAGCTCATAAAATGCTTGTTTTGAGGTTGAGCCACTTTTGGCTCGACCGTATTCTTTCAACCAAAACTCAAGAATTTCCTGCATTTTAGCACTATTGAGAAATCTGTTTAAATGGTTTAACTTTCCTGCTTCTCTTGCCATCTTTGTTGCATTAATGTAACCATCCTTGTCTCTACGTAAGACTTCAATACCGTTATAAGTGCCTTTTGTGAATGTTTCACCATTAGATTTGTTCGTGAATGTTTTTGCTTCGACTGACATTTCTGTTCTTACATACAAAATAAAAAAATAAATAAAAATAAAACTAACTTTATTTTTTTTGGTCTTTTGTGAAAATTCATGAAAATTCACGGGGTGAAAAAAGAGGTGAAAAAACAGGTGAGATCTAACCTCTTCGCCTAAATTATATTTTTGTCTGATTTACATCTAATGAAAAAGTTTAGAAGAATTTTCTTATTCTTTCTGGCATATTTTTGTCTTTCCAGTACTCCCGCTCTAATGGTCCCAGATGTGTTGGCTTCGACTCTCTCAAGTTCTTAGATGGTATAACATCTTCAACGCCTCCTTCATATCTTACTTTATAAGTGTCATCGTTTGTGTTATAGCCAAGTATTTCAATAACCACTCCTCGCTTTGCTTCGTCAATGGTTTCAGCAAGTTTGCCATTACTACTTTCGACTAATTTATGTCGAGGATAAAACGCAATAGAGTCGTCGGCAGCTTTTATAAGATATCCATTACCTTGCGTAGAGTCTACAATATAATAATTTCGACTTAACCTTAAACGTTTCTTTGTCAACGGTTTGTCGTCAAGAACTACACGAACTTTTGTACCAGGAATGAGGGTAAATTGTGTTGAATTTCTGATATTTTGTGTTTGGCTTCGTTTCTTTTGTATATACTTTTCTTCTTGTTGTTGTGTCATTGAATTTGGTGTATGTCCTGTTGTAGAATGTGTTGAGGAATTATATACTTCGAGAAAATGTTTCATTGTTTCTTCGGTAAAGTCTCGCTCTTGGTTTAAATCTCTGAGAGTCCTTATGAAGCGGTTTATGATGCCGAGTATGTTATGGTTATGGTCTTCAGTAGTGTAGTGAGTTATGTTATGCTTAATGAGAAATTCTGTGATTTCATTGCTGAGGTATGCACTGTCTTGGTCTGATGTTAAAGTACTTGGGTTATGTTCTGCTACAAACTTTTGTAAAACTCTTAACACTTCACGAGTTCCTTTATTTTTCATTGGATATGCATATGCTTTACGAGTGTTAACATTTATGAAGATGAGGAATGGTTTATGTCCTCCTTTTCTGCTTTGAATGAGAGTGTCAAATTGGTATGCGTCAGGAGTGTTGGAGTAAATTGGTAAAAAGTAGTCGTAAGGGTTTATTTTTGTTTGATGTACAACATTTTTGTCAAAGAACTTTTTAACTTCAGCTCTGTTAGTAAATCCCCAACTCTTTGCAGCTTCATTGAACTTCTTAAATGACCTCCATGGATGTTGTTCGAATACTTCTTTCAAGCTCATTTATGTAAAGTTAAAGATTTTAACCAACTCGTATCCAAGCGTGCATTGTTATATAAGGAGGCATATAATCTTTTCCATTACCTGCTGGGTCTGTAATACCAGCTACAACATGTGTATGATTTCCTGCAGTTCCACAGAAAATACCTGTGCTAACATCTTTGGGGTCATCTGAGATATCATATCTGTTCATTCCCTGTCTATTCGAACCCGCTGCAAGATTTATATAACCTCTTTTTGTTATTGAATGTGAATGGTTTCCTTCCACAGATGTTCTTCCACTGAACCTATGCATATGTGAAGGAAGGTTTTCAATACCTATTTTCTTTGAACCTCCCATCTTCATTGACTGCGTATTAGTGTAGAATGGAAAACTGTCAACTATTTCATACCATCTACCACCAAATAAAGTGTTTGGATTTATTGGATTCATAGACGTATAAACAGCTCCTATAGGATATATTAAATCATATATGCTCATAACTCTATAAACATATTCTAAAGAACTTATGTCATTAAATACCATTTGGAATGTATCTCCCGGATGAAATGTTGCATTTGTTCCACTTTTATAATGTAATGTTAGTTCAATAGAATTATCCAAGAAAAATTCAAAAGTATCTGGTTGAAGACCTCTAACAAATTCAAATGGAGTTGCTGGTTCACCATTTATAATTTCTGTTGTAAATGTCATTGTATCTGGTTTCGAAAATTTCTTTGTTAGTTCTGCATCCACATAAGTTTTATCTGCTTTCTTATCTAACATTGTTGGTAGTTCATATGCTTCAAAGTTTCTGGCATGACTTTCAATGTTCCTGCAACTCTTATCTAAACTGTTAAGAGTATCTTTTACGCTTGTACTTGGATTTTCTAATGGTGCACTTGAACCAAGGTCAAAGTTCAATATTATGTCGTCTGCTCTAACAGTAGTGAAGGATTTATGTGTATGGTTCTTGTCAGCTTTACTGTCTAATGTAGCTTGAAGTTCATTTATATCGGAGATGTTGTGTTTATGAGATTTCAAAACTTTGTTCATTGCTTCGAGTTCAACTTTGTCAGCTTTACTTTTAATAGCATCTTCAAACGTTATTTTTGCCTTAACTCTCAAAGTAAATCTTGGTTCAACTAATACACCGTTAACATTGAAAGTAGAGGCATAAATTTCACCGGTATAACCAAATGCTTCTGGTGCTTTAGCTACATCATACTGTACAGTACAGCTTATGTCATAACCTTTAGCACGAATGTATTTATATCTTCTTTCATTAACATTTTTTGTCTTCGCTTCATCACTTCGTGTTAAATATCCATGGTAGTCCGTTATAATCTGTTCGTCTGAAGTTATATAATGAACATGGTTCTTGTCCGCTTTACTATTTAATGTAGCTTGAAGTTCATTTATATCGGAGATATTGTGTTTATGAGATTTCAAAACTTTGTTCATTGCGTCAAGTTCATTTTTGTCCGCTTTACTATTTAATGTAGCTTGAAGTTCATTTATATCGGAGATATTGTGTTTATGTTCTTTATCTGCTTTTTCGGCTAATTTCTCTTCTATCTCATTTATTTCAAGTTCATGCCTACCACCACCTCCCGAAGAAGTATTTTTCTTCAGCTCTTGAAGAACGTCCACTTCGCCATCTTTGGTGTCAATAATGAGACTTTGTGTGTTAAAACCTTTCCTGTCTTAATGGATGTTTGTAAAACTTCTTCTTCACCGTGTTCGGGGTCATGGTCGTCATCATATCTTGTGAAATCAGAGATGTTGTCATACATTAAGCATATCTGTCTCAAAAGTTCTGCTATTTGAAACTGGAACGA